TCCTGTCCCTGGCACGCACCGGATGTCTCTGCGTCCGTCCACTGCTCCTCTGCGTGCCCCTTTGCCTTCTCCTCCTGAGTCCTCTCTTCCTGCGCTTGCCGACCCTGAGTCGGACTCTCTTCGCGCTGCGAGTTCTACTGTCACGCGTCTGCTTGCTACTGTCGTCACTGACCCCTCTTTTGAGTCCACTGCTGCGTCTGCTCTAGTCGCTGAGCTCGTTGACTTTGCTGCCCGCTGTCGTCTCGACTACGCTGCTAGTCTTGTTGCTGAGTCTGTCTGTCCTCCGTCCGTCGGGGGTGAGTGTGCTCTTGGCACGGACGTCCTAGAGGACAGGCAGGAGGAGTTACAGTGTCTAGCGGCTGCTTCACCTCATCTCGCGTCTGTACTGCTTGCCCCTGAGGGAGACCCGGATGCACTAGACATCCCGACTCCGCATTCTTACGCGGAGGCCGTAGAGGGTCCCTACTCCTCTCAGTGGCAGGCAGCTATGGATGCAGAGATGGCTTCCTGGAAGTCCACAGGCACCTACGTTGACGCGGTTCCCCCTCCTGGGGCGAACATCGTCAGTGGCATGTGGATCTTCAGGGTGAAGCGGCCGCCGGGCTCTCCACCTGTCTTCAAGGCACGGTACGTTGCTCGTGGCTTCAGTCAGCGGCAGGGAGTTGACTACTTTCAGACCTTCTCTCCCACCCCGAAGATGACCACTCTTCGGGTGCTGCTGCACATAGCCGCTCAGCGCGACTACGAGCTTCACTCTCTCGACTTCAGCACTGCGTTCCTGCAGGGTAGCCTGCACGAGGAGATCTGGCTTCGCCGTCCACCTGGCTTCACTGGGACTTTCCCTCCTGGCACCCAGTGGAGCCTCCGACGGCCAGTCTACGGTCTCCGCCAGGCACCGCGTGAGTGGCACGACACACTGAGGACTACGCTTGCGGCTCTTGGGTTTGCTCCTTCTACTGCTGACCCGTCGCTGTTTCTTCGCACCGACACTTCCCTGCCGCCGTTCTACATCCTCGTGTACGTCGACGACTTGGTCTTTGCCACAGCGGACACTGCTGGACTCGCCTACGTGAAGTCCGAGCTGCTGAAGAGACACACGTGCACAGACCTGGGTGAACTGCGCAGCTACCTTGGCTTGCAGATCACTCGGGACAGAGCACGCCGCACCATTACCTTGACTCAGTCACACATGGTGCAGCAGGTCCTTCAGCGCTTCGGCTTCACGTACTCCTCGCCTCAGGCCACTCCTCTGCCTACTCGCCACTCACTCTCAGCTCTGCCTTCGGATGAGTCCGTAGAGTCGAGTGGTCCGTATGCAGAGCTTGTTGGCTGCCTCATGTACCTGATGACCTGCACACGACCTGACCTTGCATACCCTCTGAGCATTCTTGCTCGCTATGTTGCTCCTGGGAGACACAGACCGGAGCACATGGCTGCAGCGAAGAGGGTATTGCGCTACCTGTGCAGTACGTCGGGCATGGGGCTAGTGCTTGGAGGGCGGAGTCCAGTGGTCCTTACCGGCCACGCGGACGCTTCTTGGGCTGACGACCAGGCTACGCAGCGGTCGTCACAGGGTTACACCTTCAGCCTTGGTTCCGGCTCTGTCTCGTGGCGGTCTACTCGCTCGTCTTCGGTTCTCGGCTCCAGTTGTGAGGCTGAGATCTACGCCGGGGCCATGGCTGCACAGGAGCTTCGCTGGCTCACCTACCTGCTGACTGACCTTGGAGAGCCACCTCGTTCTCCTCCAGTGCTGTACGTAGACAACAAGGCCATGCTGGCCTTGTGTCGAGAGCAGCGCTTGGAGCACAGAACGAAGCACATTGCTCTCCGCTACTTCCTTGCTCGTGAGCTGCAGCAGCGTGGTCAGTTGCGACTTGCGTACGTGGCCTCTGAGGCCAACACTGCTGATGTGTTCACCAAGGCACTCGCGCCTTGTGACCATCAGCGCTTTTGCACCCAGCTGGGTCTTGTGCCTGTCTTGCCTCACTTGCTCTCCTCTTGACTTTACCTGTACTGTGACATATATATATACCTGCTCTTGCTTGTCTAGTTTTATATATATGTCTGTACTCCTGCATGTGAACTGGCCTCTGGCCCTGCTCTTGTGCTCGGACTGTGTGGTGACTTTGTGATCCACCCTGAGCTTTGCTTTGCTTTGCTTGACTGGTCTTGTGACCCCTTGTTCTCCCCACTTTGCCTATGGGGGTGTGTCAAATATTATATATGTTATGCTTGTGTAGGCTACAGTGGGTTAGCCTATAGGGGGTACACAATTCTAGGGTTTCCTACTTGTACTCATTTCACTGCTAGTTCATTCATTCCTGCTTACTCATTTCACAGGTTATGGGCGCACTGATCCGCTACTTAACAAGCCCTTTTATCCCAATGGTCTAGTGGTTGGGATTCTGACATGGTATCAGAGCGAAGGTCTCGGGTTCGAATCCCAGTGTGTGCACCTCGGGCATCTCAGTGCGGGGGGGTGTCAGAGGTCCATTGGAGATCCCCGATTGATCCTAGGGAAGGGTTACAGGCACGTTGGCCTGGGGGCTTATGGGCGCACTGATCCGCTACTTAACAAGCCATTTTATCCCAATGGTCTAGTGGTTGGGATTCTGACATCAGACATACCTCAGACCCTAGGGACGACCCTGCTTCTGAGGGCCTGCCCCTCAGAGTACATGGCTAGCTAGGACCTTTCATATTCCACTGTATTCCTATATAAACCCTTATACTTCATTGTAATAGTCAGTTCTGTCGAGATTCAAGTCTCCTTCTTGTGACAGAGTCCGTACCTGACATTACATAGCAATATTCCGCTGGTACACTCCGTGCGATCAAGCTGAGACGATCCTATAAGACGGTTCAGATCGTATCACATAGAAATTTCTCAGTTCGACACTTATGACCATTTATTGTTCTTCCAACAACATATTATGACTCGAGTGAAGCGTAACTCACTTAAGCGATACTTGATATTTGTAACTATGCACTTTCTGATTTCTTGAAATGTAAATCACTAACCTGTTTCAACGAACTTCATCTGATTGATTAAATATGCAAATAATGATATCTTGTCCTATAAGCATTTTGTAAGTGAAATACCTGTGCAGCAAGTTTTAAAACCGAAATATAAAATTGTGAACCCCGACCCATCTTGAAATGGCCGCGGCGCTTTTGCAGCTGGAAGGGGGGAAAACTTACTGTTCGGTCTGACATAACTGACGAGAGAAACAGAGTTGTTTAGGAACATGATTGGCCAGCGATTGAGGAAGTGAGAACCTGCTTTTGCCATTGGTTGCGGCTACTGACAATCGTCGCTCGCAAACCGGCTGTGCAGGTACTCACGGAACACTGGAAACAAATCTTCGTGTAAACAGGGTCACATAGCTGGGGCACGAACGTCAGTCGACTGCACGGACATTCATGTTGGGTCCACTTGAATTTCAAGTTGGACATGGGTTACACGACCATTTCCGTGCCCGCTGGTGCCCATCGTAATCTTAGAGAACACAGAAGCTCCGTGGCCGGCTTTAGCGGGAACATAGCATAAAAGACGCCACACAGGGGGGTGTCACAGTAGAGACGAGAGTAACCGTCATTCATAGCAAGAAAGTCGTGCGAAGACAGGGTACTTTCAGTTAGAAAAATTACCGAACGCATACCTGACTACGCTGCCTAGTATACGATTTCTGATATCATAGTGCAATTCGAGGCCCCACTCTGCAACATTGGCTGATAGTACTCGTCGTGAAGACCAGCGCCACGGCGTTTAACCGAGCAAGTCAACAGGAGCTAACCCTTGCTACGTTTGTGTACGGAACGGACGTCCAGCCATTGCGATTGTGAAAAGGGCATGACCGACTCCGCAAGGGGCGCACCGAAATTGAAACCGCCTACTAATCAGGTAGCGAACCCGCGGATGGCGTTTAACCGAGGCTTGCGCCATGATTTAGACTACGGTTCAGACGGCCTGCACGCCCATGGGGGGCAGGCCGTCACGTTCGTAGTGAAACCGCGAGGTAGCGTTATGAGGTGAGTCGATGTCGAACATACCCTGTTCCCCCATTGCCTGCTGCCCCATCCGTGATCCCCCATTCCCCGCTCCCCCAGCAGCGGACGGCTCAAGGTACGCGCCCGCTGCCGCATTAGACATGTCTCACGGGCAGCACGTACGCGACATGCTGTCCGTCGACGTCAGACGGTCAGCATATGCGCGAAATGCTGCCCGTCATTTTCTGACGGGGGTATAGGCGCGAAATGCGTAATGCGTCTGTCTGACAGGCGGCATTCGCGCGCTATGCGGAAAGCCGCTGTCAGACGAGCAGCATGCTCTCGAGATACCTCCCGTCACTGTCCGACGGCCAGCATACGCGAGCCCTGCCCAATGCGGCTGTCAGACAGTGACGAGCACCATTTCGCGCGAAATGAGGTGCATCCGTGCCTGACAGGCAGCAGGCGTACGAAATGATGCCCGTCACTGTCTGACGGGCAGCACGCGCGGCCCATTACCGGTTCCCCCCTTCCCCGTTCGAGCATTCCCTGCTCCCCCATTTCCTGCTCCCCCATTCCCTGCTCCCCCATTCCCTGCTCCCCCATTCCCCGCTCCCCATTCCCTGCTCCCCCATTCCCTGCTCCCCCATTCCCTGCTCCCCCATTCCCTGATCCCCCATTCCCTGGGGCCCCGTTCCCTGTTCCCCCATTCCTGTTCCCCCATTCCCCGCTCCCCCATTCCCTGTTCCCCCATACCCTGCTCCCCCATTCACTTTTCCCCCATTCCCCGCTCCCCCATTCCCCGTCCCCCCATTCCCCGTTCCCTCATTCCCTGCTCTCCCATTCCCTGCTCCCCCAGTCCCTGCTCCCCCATTCCCAATCTGCATTCCCAAAGACAGAATTCCCCGATCCCCCATTCCCTGTTCCCCCATTCCCCGCTCCCCCATTCCATGTTCCCCCATTCCCCGCTCCCCCATTCCCTGTTCCCCAATTCCCCGCTCCCCCATTCCATGTTCCCCCATTCCCCGCTCCCCCATTCCCTAATCCCCCATTCCCCGCTCCCAAGTTTCCTGTCCCCCGATTCCCTTACCCCCAATCCTTGTCCCCCCATTCCCTGCTCCCCCATCCCCTGTTCCCACATTCTCCGCTCCCCCGTTCCCGGTCCCCCAATTCCCCGTCCTCCCATTCCCCGTTCCCTCATCCCCTGCTCCCCCATCCCCTGCTCCCCCATCCCCTGCTCCCCCATTCCCTGTCCCCTAGCTCCCTGCTCCCCCCTTTCCCTACCCGCTGGTTCCCCCTTTGCCATCTCTCTGAAACATCACTCCCATCCCTCCCATTGCCAATAACCAATTTATGGACAGCGGAGGGGGTAGACAGAAACGTGGTGCCTTGGTCGAACTTACCCATTGTTTACCCCGCTGCCACTCTTTCTATTCCCCCTGCTTACCCGTTGTTTCCCCCCCTCTGAGTCTTTCTTTTCCCCTGCTTACCCATTGCTTCCCCTCCTTCTCCCCACTGCTTCCCCTCCTCCTCCCCCCTGCTTCCCCTCCTTCTCCCCCCTGCTTCCCCTCCTTCTCCCCCTTGCTTCCCCTCCTCCCCCCTGCTTACACCCTTCTTCCCCCTTTCCCCTCTCCTCCATACGCCCATCAGCCTCCCTTTCCCCGCTCTTCCCATCTCTACCTTACTACCTTCACTACCTTACGCCCTGACGCCCCCTTTCCCATCGATTCCAGGCACCATTACTCCCGCTCTCACCTCTCAAACTTACACCCTTGTCCCCCCTTTCCCCTCTCTGCCTTATCCCCCTCTTGCCGTTCTCCACCTTACGCCCTGCTTCCCCTTTCCCCCTCTCTGCCCTACATCCTTCTCCCCCTTTGTTCAGCCTGCCTTACCGCCTTCTACCGCCTTTCCCCCCTCATCACTTACGCCATTCCCCCCCCATTTCCCCTCTTCCATACCCCCTTCTCCCCCCTTCCCCCTCTCCTCCTTACGCCCGTTTTAACCCTTACGCCACACTGCCTACTCCCCTACTTCCACCTTTTCCCTTTCTCCCTTGCTTCATTCCTCCCCCTTCCCTAGGTATACTGCCTTTTACCCGTCTCCTGCCCTTCCCCTCTCCACCTTTCAACCGTCTTCACCCCTTCCCCTCCCTGCCATTACAGCCTTCTGTAAAACTCTCCTCGATCTGCCTTGCGCCCTTATTCCCCCCGTTCCCTCTCTTCCCTACTCCCTTTCCCCGTTACACCACTCTTCCGTATTCTTTTGTCCCCCTCTCCCTCACTATCCCAATCTGTCCCTTCCTCCCCTCTGCTATTCCCCCGACTCTCCTTGACCCCGCCCCCATGACGCGCCCTCTGTACGCAACACCCTTCGGCGCTGAACGCCACCTCCATCCACCATAAAATGGACCGTTTGTCCCCTTTCGCCCGTCTTCGGTGCCCCACACCCTATTCCCACCTCTCTGGCTTACCCCCTGCTTCCCCCTATCACCTCACCGTCAACCGCTCTTCCTCCCCGTTTCCCCTCTCTTCCCTACACTCTTCTTCCCCACCGTCCCCTCTCTGCCTTTCTCCCAGACTCCCCCATTCCCCTGCCTCCTTACACCCCACTTCCCCCACCATGCGTTTTTCCTCACTTCCATACACCCTATAAAACCTACTTCCCCTCTCCGCCATTCGCCCATCCTCCCCCCATTCCCTCACTTCCAACGACCTGTCTGCCGCCACCCGTGAGCTCTCTGCCTTGCACTCTGTTTCCCCCTATCTCCACTCTGCCTTACCCCTATCTACCTCCTTTCCATCCCCGGTACCTTACACCCAGCTTCCCCCATTTCCCTCTCTTCCGAACACCCTTCTTCCCCTTCCCCCCTCTTGTCCTTACGCCCTGCGTCTCCCTTCCCCTTCTCTCCTTACACTTTCTTATTGCACCATGAGTTCTCTGCCTAACGCCCTGCTTCCCCCTGCTACCCCCTTCATCTTCCTCTCCCCACTCTGCATTACCCCCTCCATTCACGTTTCCACCCACGGTGCCATACGCCCTGCTTCCTCCTTTTCCCTCTCGTCCCTACACCCTTCTTCCCCCTCACCCCTCTCTGCCACGGGTCAACCCCCTTTCCCCTCTCATCGTATTACGCCCTGTTTCCCCCGTTAGCCTGTGACTTACGTCCTCCTTCCCATATTCCCCACTCAGCCATACCCCCTTCTTCCGCCTTTCCACCCTCTCTGACTTACGCCCTTCATCCCCCTTTGCCCCTCTGTATACCACCCGTCTTCCCCCTTGTCCCCACTCTTCCCTACTCCTTGCTTCCGCCTCTCCACTCTCTATGCCTTACTCTCTTCTTCGCCCTTTCACCGCTCCACCTTACACCCTTCTTCATGCATAGTGCATTCTCCCCCTAACTTCCTAAGAAACACAGTTTCCATCCCTACCCTACACCCCTCTTCCCCCTTTCCACACCCTAACTACCCCCTTTCCCTTTTCTGCCCTTCCCCCTTCTTCCCCCCGTGGCCTCGCTTCCATACTGCCGGGTTTTCCCTCGTAACTTCACTCCCTGCCATACTCCCTGCTTTCCCGCTTCCCTCACTTGTCTACACCCTTCTTCCCCCTCTCGCTCCATGTGCCCTCTCACGCAGCTATCTCCATGCTCCACCCCTTGCCCTCTCGTGCTACGCTGTCGACTGTCCTCTCGCGCCTAAATCACCTTCTCCCAATTACCATTCTCTCTTTCAAACTCCATCTGCTCCCTCTCCTCCCTCTGTCCCATCTCCCCTCCCTGTTCTAATTCCCCTCGCCAACACAGCGCCCTACGCGTCGGCTCCTCTACACCTCTCTGCTCAAAGTCTCCAATCCGCGACACTCGGCGCCGCCGCGCCACTCCTTGGGGTGTAACATCAACACTCTCATAGAGGAACCAGGTATGTCACACCAACTCTTCCCTGCCCCTCTCCTACCTCCACCTTCTCTCGTCTCCAGAGGCCTCTCCGCTCTGACTTCCCTCACGCCCCACCCTGCCTTACTCCCCCCTCCGCCTTCCTTTTCTCAACCCCCTGCTCTCTCTCCTCCCGTCACAAATGCTACTCCGGAACCGCTCCTCCCCCTCTTCGGCTCCCAGCCCTCTATCCCTTCAAAGCCATCTCTCCCCTCCTTGCCCTCCCTCGACCCCTTGCACTCCCCTCCCTCCCTTCCCTCCCTCCTCTCAACAATCTGTTGCCCCTGTCCCACCGTCGTGTTGCAATCTGTCCTGTCCCCAATCCCACGCTCTTTCATCTCCGTGCTCGTCGTGCCCCCTCGCTATCCTGTTCCAACCCTGGGTTGTCAAGCCTGTATTCCCAAGCATTACACATAAATGTGAGTTCTTCTGTCTTACTAGATGACCGCAGTCTGTCCGCGTCTGCACCCACTCCATGTATTAGCATGTCCCCATGTAGCAGCAATGTTGTCTCCCAACTGCCGCACATTGTCCGTCCCCCATGCTTTGTCATGTTGCACTGAGAGATTTGGCACACCGAGCGCTCAGCGACCCCCTCCATGCTCGTCGCCCTTCCCCACCCTTTCAAACCAGTCTACCACTCTCTCCTGCCATTAGTGTGAGGGCAGGGTGCAAATGTCGCACCGACCAGGGACAGGCAGGGGCACAGCTAAGCGCGTCTGAACTGGGGAGCCTGTTAGGTAAGCCATTTCTATTTCCCATTACTATGCCTGCAGCACCTGCTCCCTTTGGAAACATTGCCTTATTGCTTGTTATCTTTTTACCCATCGCTCATTCATCCTTGTTACTGTTTTGGGCAGGCCGCGATGCAGAGCTCTCATGCGTCGCCGGCCGGAAGGGGTACGCATGGCGTACCAGGATGATATTGAGGAGACCGAGGAAGGGATGCAGTGGGAGAGTGCATCTAATACATTGGAAGTGGTTGAGTCAACGAGCAGTGTTTCGAGCAGACCAGCGCCTAGGATGACTCGACGGGTCCGTGTTCGCTCCGGCCTGCCCCCAATCATTGTGAATCCTGCGTTCTGCTGGACAATCAATGAATTTGCTAGGCGTGTCCCAAAACAGTATGATGTCCTGCAGAAGTGGGCGGCCAGCTGGTTATCCTTCCCCTCTGAAGAAACTGTAGGTCGTTTTGCAACTCAACGTACAGTGGAAAATGTGATACGAGTTGCGTGTGGCGCAAACCGTGGGTGTGGACGACGTGGAGGTGGAGCCGAAAAACCACCATTTCCGATGTTACGTGGGGTATTCAGATTTGTTGGGAGAGGACACTAGTGACCAGGTTGTGCTTCCATGGCTGATATACGTTGTGATTGCCTCCCTGTACCCAGAGCCATCATCGGGGGGGTATTACACGGGATGTGGGGGGGACGATGTGTTGTGGTTCAACGACTACAGTCCGATGCCCGAAGTGATCAACTTTGAATGCGATGGTGTCGCGGGGATTTATGCGCAGTCACTCGATTGATAGCCCGTGAATGCACATGTGTATTAGACACGCGTAGACCATACTCTTATTAGTTGAGAACTACTTGTCTTCTGAAACAACCTCCTACACACGCTTGCAGTGCCCAAACTTCCAGAGAGATAAGTAAGCGCACATACAAGGCATTTGAGTGATAGCCAGTGAATGAACATGTGTGTTTGACACGCTTTGACTCTTTACTTGAGAACCACTTGTGGTGGGAGAACAACCTCTTGCACACGCTTGCAATGCCACAGACATGAAGAGAGATAAGTAAGCGCACATACAAGGCAGCCATGTGTAGCCGCTATTGCACTGTCTGCGCCAACAGGTAGACACTGAGGTTCGGGTGCATTGTACGGTGGTCATGCGACACCCCGTGTTGTGAAATCTACAAAACACGCCAAGTTGTATGAGTCAGGGAGGACGCATGGCAGCACTGAGCACAGGGAGGAACAGGGTGAAGACCATGCGTCTACCATGAATCCAATCGTCACGTATGAGCTTGGTGCCCTTGCTTAGTGTGGCGGTTTGACGGGATGCCGTTCGGGCGTGGCGGTCCAAAAGTTCCTGCAACCAGTGAACCCCCCATGGTGCATACTCCTTGACGCATAGCTGCTGTAGGGTGCAACGGGGTGCGGATGGAAGGGGTGGGAGTAAATGGGATGCGTGGGATGTAGATGGATGCTGCACCCGCAGGCGTGTGGGGCAAGGTACGCGTATGTAGGTGTGCATGTAAAAGTTGTTGTGCAAGTGTGGGCACTTGTGCAAAGGAACAGGGACGTTCTGCAAGGCTGTGCACGTGTGCACGTGTGAGCACATGTGCCAAGGCTTGCACATGGTGAGTTGTTGGGCTCGTGGTGAACCATTGGGCTTGTGGTGGGTTGTAGGGCCTGTGGTGAGTCGTTGGGCTTGTGGTGAGTCGTTGGGCTTGTGGTGGGTCGTTGGGCTTGTGGTGAGTTGTGGAGCCTGTGGTGGGTCGTTAGGCTCATGGTGAGTTGTAGGACTCGTGGTGAGTTGTAGGGCCTGTGGTGAGTTGTAGGGCCTGTGGTGAGTCGTTGGTCTTGTGGTGAGTCGTTGGGCTCGTGGTGAACCGTTGGGGATGTGGTGAGTCGCGAGGCTTGTGGTGGGTCGTTGGGCTCATGATGAGTCTTTGGGCTCGTGGTGAGTTGTAGGGCTTGTGGTGAGTCGTTGGGCTTGTGGTGGGTTGGTGGGTAGGTTGGTAGGTAGGTTGGTGGGTAGGTTGGTAGGTAGGTTGGTGGGTAGGCTGGCGAGTAGTCGGTGAGTAACATATGGGTCGGTGGGTATTTTGTGAGTGAAGTGGAGGCTAGTAGGCTATGAGCGAGAGGACCCAATGAGCATATGAGGGAACTCAGTGAATCATATGTGTGTTGCAGGGTGGATTGTGTAAACAGTACCTCTTGAAATACTAACTGTTTGGGTGGCTCCGAAGCTTTTTTCGGGGCGGCATGAATGGTCTGCGCACTGGTGGGTCATCCGGTCCTGCACACAAGGAATGGATACATATCGAACGTGAATTTAGACACTTGAATCCCGTGTGGCCTTGTTGGTAAACAAGTTACACTAAAGAACGCACAACAATAAAAACACACAATACTTTACCCATGAACAATTAGATGGGGTCAACGTGGCAGCAAGGATGCGCGGCGCCACTCGGCAAAAATGTCCTGCGTCCATTGCCAGTTCATTGGTCCAAGCACGCGATCTTTCTTCCCACGACACACACGAGTCGCACGGCGGATCCGGATGATATGTCTCAGGACAAGTCGCTCAACGGTGTTGTTCCAATGTAGAATCGAGAGTGCAATCCGTGCTTCCACACTCTTCGGTGTATATTTGCAAATCACCGAATGAAATGACTCGTTCAGCCAGCTGGACGCGCGAAGCACGAACGGTTGCATCTTGTCTGCGGAACAGTGTTTCCGTAGCCAGCTCCTGAAGGCTAGATGTGTGGCTCCACCGTATTCATACACTGCACTCTCTAGACCCCACCCATCAGCGACGCACCGAGGCACAATGCCATGTCGAGCACAGCGAGAGTGATCACTGGCCCAATGCTCGGTTGATAGAGCAAGCTCAGCCTCGACGTCTTCCGCGGTCATGGTACGACCTTCTTTGGCAAGAGTAGCACCGCGCACCATCACGTGATGAAAATGGATACTAAACCGCTGCGGAGAACTCACTTCCTCGACAACTGCCATATCATCCGATGAACCACCCCCCCCTTCAGCACTTGGCAGCAGACTCCGCTGGTTGCGCCGCGTTCTTTTGGCCTTGCGCACCCATCGCCGTCCCCCCTCCATGGCTGTTACGCTTGTCTGAATAGCACCTCCCATCGGATCGTTAACATTAGGACCCCGACTCTCGCCCGTATTGTCCCACCAACCACGGTCTCTAACTTCATGAATCTCTGCTTGCGTGGCCGCAACCTCCTCTGCCCACAATCCATGTGGAGCAGGATTGGCAAACAAGTTGGACAGAAAAGCGGACTCACATTCAAGGCAAACAAGTTATACAGCATGAAGAGCCCCTAAAATGTTCAAAGCAGCGATGTGCAGCTGAACGAACGCACATTAAAAAAGTTAAGGTGTTGTGATTTTCAAAATGGCTCTTCCTTCTTACGAAACAATAGCAGGGGCGGAAATACAAACTCCTACGAAGGTTTTTCACACATTGGATCGAGCAGCTTACCTTGCTCCGTCATGTCTGCCCCGAAGTCGAATGATGCTCCCACTGTGTCCGATCGCCCTGCAACATCCTGTGCCAGTAACAGCGATGCATACGACGACGGGTGGATCCCGTGCACTGGGTACGGATCCCAGGCGAACATCTCGGCCACATCCTGAAAAATAATCCATTCTCCGTCAACGTCTGTATCTGTCTCATCCGCTGTTGCCATGGGGGCATCCACAGTTGCCATGGGGGCAGCTGTGGGGGCATCCGCTGCTGCCGTGGGGGCATCTGTAGGGGCATCCACTGCTCCCGCAGCTGTAGCTGCAACTGTGTGGTCTGATCCCGTGGCTGACCCGTCCATCCGCACCACCACACGTCGCAAATCTGGGTGCTTGTACGACGCCTCCCCCTCATCACAAGTATTGTACTCGATACCATCAAGATCGCCACATACCGCTCTGACGAGTGCGTCTCTAGTTGACGTAACATTCAGCTTCCCTTTCGTCCCATTTTGGTCCAGCCAACGGACCAACAACTTCCTCTTGATATGCCATAAATCCTCTATGGTCGTGGCATCCTCAACAATCATCGCGTCATCTTTACGGCTATCCACTTACTCCCTGAATAATGCTTTCACTACGGTCCTCGCCATATGCCACACGTCTTGTTGATGCTCCAAACCCATTTCTGCACAAACCGTTTTAAAACTGGTTCCACCATCGGTTATCACTCCGTCCACCCTAAACCCAAAAGCTGCCAGGTCGCGCAAGCCGCGCTCAAACGCTAACTTCTCCATCGCCATTGAGGAGCACCCTTCCTTCCACTTGTTGACTGTAACACAGTGGAGCACCTTTCGAGTCTCTCTATCCATTAGTGAAACCGTACACCATTCACCTTCTCTCGCTTGCGACCATCGCCTATCCGCTGTAATCCATATCTTTGCAGCACCTCTGGCCATAACTTCCCGTCGCACGTTCGCCATAGACAACGCACTCTGTTGTACTATGGTCGCCCATAGACCATAAGGATTCTTCATGTACGTGTAGAACGTTCCTGCTGCTGGTATTGGGACCCCTATGTTGCGCAATACCGACTCTAGTGTTTGATATCCGCAACCACTAATCACGCAGGCTCCCATCACCGTTCTAGATAGCCAAGGCATCTTGGGACCCTTTTTGGACTCCTGTCCAACATCTGGTGTACGATCACAGCTCCACCACACCTCCGTATGTTTACATCTTAGGCATCTCCATAGCAGCCCGAACGCACCCAATGTACTTTTCCATGATTGCAAAAGCATTGCCCCTCCACTGCCAGCAGTGCACTGGACTGAAAAATGCAGCATTAGTTTCACAAACCAGACGGTGTCCATGTAGCACATGGTTCCCTTACGTGTTTCAGTAAGGCCTGGAGAAGATGGCCAGCCTTGTGGGACCCCTCATC